ATCAAATTATAAATTGTTAACATAGTTACATTAGTTATCTTATTCAAATAATACTAATACTTGTAAATGTTGTTAAGTATTTGATTAATACTTAAAAGTGCATTTTTATCAAGGTTTTATATCATCATTTTGCACTTGAATAATAACTCCTTAACTAAAGCATATTTTATAATAACAAGTCTGATACCATAAAGTACCTTTAATTTATGGTAAATATTCATCCTAAATATAGGCCTATCACATAAATAAAAAGATTGATTGATGAGTTGAAATATTGAAATTTAAAGGATAAAGAGAGGGCCAAACCTAGAAAAGAGATAGTGGTGCAGTCCAAATTAGAACACAGTTCGGTAATTGGGTCATATCTAGAGTTATAGATCTCAAATTTTGAAATACCATTAGTGGATCCTCTAATGTCGATATTTGTTGTTATCATTGTTTAATCCTCACATTGATCTTTCATCTCAAAGTTCTTATCAACTTCTTCTTCTTCTTCTATTATTATTGTTATTGTTATTTATAATTTATACAATTAACCACCTTGTGGTACGACCCTAGTCTTGCTGGGTTATTTATTACTTCGACACTCTTGTACTTAGGAGAAGACATCAATCTTTTGGTCGTGTCATGTTTTTGGCGCCATTGCCAAGGAGGTAAATTATTATACAAATTATAATATTTATTTTATTTTTTATTTTTATATTTTTATATCTAACTTTATTTCTTCTTCTTTTGTTTTCTTCTTTCTTTTATTTTATTCTTACACGTGCATGAGAGTGTGGTCACGTACATCAAGTGGTAGACTTTGTTCAGATTAAAGATTTTTCCTTTTTTATTAAAAGATAAAGTTAAAACATAGCTATAAAATTTCAAACTAGGATCCATTTGTACTTGGGATGAAATGCAACAACAATTTTTAAAGAAGTTTTTCCCTTCTTATAGAACCAGAGTTTTAAATCTCGGACCAACCCTGCAGACTTGGGCCTGAGACTGTCCGAGTGGAGGTAAAAACCCATTTAGGAATTGGCTTGGCTAAACCCGATCGCCCTAGCGAGTTGACCCGGGACCCTATCAAACCTGGATGAGACCTGGTCAATTTGTTTTTTATATTGGAAATCATTAAACAACATTGTTTTGGCCTTTTAAAATGCGAAAACGTTGAAGATTGAAGAGTGAAAAAGAACGAAGCAATATACGTTGAATATTGAAGAGTGAAAAAGAACGAAGCAATATTGGGGACAATTTCAATTTGCAAACCTAATTAACTCAACTCTTAGAAACCCAGTAGAGGAGCAGAGGACGTCTGAGGAGAAGATCCCTATTATATCTATGTGAAAAAGGTTTGAATCTCCTTCTTTCACTCTTTGTTTTCTTTATTCTTGGTCGTTTTCTGAATTACTAGCACCGAGTCCTTCACAGCCCAATCACTAGCATCAATTTCAATCGCTGGGCATCGATTTGTTGTTCGTTGATTCATTCGCAACCTAGTCACTTTAGGTATGTTTCTTTAGCCTGATTTCTGCATCAATTTCTGTCTTTTCTTTTATGCAACCCAATTTCAACTTCTGCCAAAAAATGAACTTTATAGTTTTTAATGTTAATTGATGATGAACTCTAGAATGTTGTTACCATAATTTTGTTTATGTATGATTTGATGCTTATTACCATTATTCTTTTGATGCTATTACGGTGTTACCATGATTCAACAGTTATAAATTAGTTGTGTTGTGGTGTTTGTATTGTGTGGAATGGCATAATTCTATATGTTACTGATTTCAATTGGATTGTTAATTTCCTAAAGCATTGTTAATTCTTTTGCCTAATCAAATTTGTTAATTTTCTGGAGCATTGTGTTGAATCTGTGGTGTCTGTATTTAGTGTATTGTGTTGAATTTGTATTATGTTAACTGAGTAGTCTTTTTCTGTTATGTGTGATTAACAATGAGGTTGTCATTGTTAATCTAATGAATGGATTGCAAAGTGAGTTAGCTTGAAATTATATTCCCTCTTAAAAATTATGTCAGGTCTTAAAATGTCTTCATATGATAGTAGCACTCCAAGTAGTGATCCTTCAACAGCCCAATCATCTCAATCTTTAATTTGCATGTCAAGTGGTAGTAGAGGAAGAAAAAACTAAATTAATATGTTTATATAATGATAAGTACTTACGGGTGGTTGTATTAATCAATTTAAGCAACATTTAGCTGGAGCTAAAAGAGAAGTTGAACAATGTCGCAAATGCCTTCCTGATGTTCAACATCAAATGGTTTTGAATCTTAAAGGAAATGCTGAATAAAAAAAAAAAGAGTTAGAGAAATACAAGCAGATTTCAATCCATTTAATGCACAACAAAGAGAGCATGAAGAGATGATGATTAGGCACTTAGAAGATGGTGATGATGATGATGAGGATGTCAATACTAAAAAACATATGTTACCACCAAATATTGCAAAAAAGAAAAAGATTCAAAGCACTAGCATTGTAAAACAATCGACTACAAGCTATGAAAAGTAGAAAAAATCTGCAACATTAGGGACATATTTCAAGCAAAGAACAACTCCTAGTGTTTAAAAGTCTCTTCAGAATTGTTGTCGAAGGAAGGAGGCAGTTGAACGGTGTGATCTTGCTTTAGCAAAGTGGATGATTGATGCATGTGTGTCATTTAATGCTGTTAACTCTGTGTATTATCAGCATGCTATAGATGTTGTAACAATCATGGGTCTTGGTTATAAAGGATCAAACTTGCATGCTATTCGTGGTTATTACTTGGCAAAAGTGGCTGATAAAGTTAAGATTTATATTGAGACTTATCAAGAGATTTGGAAAAAGACTAGTTGCACATTAATGGCTGATAGATGGAAAAATCAAAAGAAGAGGACTTTAATTAACTTCTTAGTATATTATCCTAAACGAATAGTTTGTTTGAAAACTGTGGATGTATCAGATGTCTCAAAGATTGTTAGATTGTTGTATCAGTTATTTAGAGGTTGTTTTGTACGTTGGGGTAGAAAACATTATGCATATGGTGACTGATAATGCTGCAAATTATATTGCTACTGGCAAGTTATTAATGGAAGAATTTCCTTCAATATTTTGGTCTTCTTGTGTTGTTCATTGTATCAACCTCATACTCTAGGACATTGGTAAATTATAGTTAGGTTGTTGTGTTGTTGAGCATGCTTTTGGTACCACAAAGTATATTTATAATCATTGTTATCCATTGTATTTGATGAGGAAGTTCACTAGAGGAAAAGAAATACTTAGTCTAGCTCCTACTCGTTTTGCTACCAATTTCATTGTATTGCAAAGCATTTTAGCTCATAAAGATGAGTTGAGAGCTATGGTGACATCTAGGGAATTGGTCTCATCTGCTTATACTAAAGATAGTAAAGGAAAAAAGTTTGTTGAGAGTGTGCTAGACTTTCTATTTTGAAAAAAATATGCAATAATTGTGCGAATGAGTGAGCCTTTAATTCGAGTTCTATAAATGGTTGATGGTGATGATTAATCTTCGATGTGATATTTGTATGATGTTATTTGACACGACGAAAAGATTAATGTCTTCTCCCAAGTGCAGGAGTGTCGAAGTAATAAATAACTCGGCAAGACCGGGGTCGAACCACAGGAAGGTTAATTGTACAAAGTATAAACAACAATTATAAACAACAATAACAACAATAACAACAACAATAATAGTAGCAATAATAGTAGTAGTAGTAGTAGTAGTAGTAGTAGTA